TGAAGCTCTGTAGTGTGGGAGTGTTTGGGTGTGAAGCTCTGTAGTGTGGGAGTGTTTGGGTGTGAAGCTCTGAGTGTTGAGGTGTGTGGGAGTGTTTGGTGAGGAGCTCTGAGTGTTTGGGTGTGTGGGAGTGTTTGGTGTGAAGCTCTGAGTGTTGAGGTGTGTGGGAGTGTTTGGTGTGAAGCTCTGAGTGTTGAGGTGTGTGGGAGTGTTTGGTGTGAGGCTCTGAGTGTTTAGGTGTGTGGGAGTGTTTGGTGTGAAGCTCTGAGTGTTGAGGTGTGTGGGAGTGTTTGGTGTGAGGCTCTGAGTGTTGAGGTGTGTGGGAGTGTTTGGTGTGAAGCTCTGAGTGTTGAGGTGTGTGGGAGTGTTTGGTGTGGTGCTCTGAGTGTTGAGGTGTGTGGGAGTGTTTGGTGAGGAGCTCTGAGTGTTGAGGTGTGTGGGAGTGTTTGGTGAGGAGCTCTGAGTGTTGAGGTGTGTGGGAGTGTTTGGTGAGGTGCTCTGAGTGTTTAGGTGTGTGGGAGTGTTTGGTGAGGAGCTCTGAGTGTTGAGGTGTGTGGGAGTGTTTGGTGAGGTGCTCTGAGTGTTGAGGTGTGTGGGAGTGTTTGGTGAGGTGCTCTGAGTGTTTAGGTGTGTGGGAGTGTTTGGTGAGGAGCTCTGAGTGTTGAGGTGTGTGGGAGTGTTTGGTGTGAAGCTCTGAGTGTTGAGGTGTGTGGGAGTGTTTGGTGTGAAGCTCTGAGTGTTGAGGTGTGTGGGAGTGTTTGGTGTGAGGCTCTGAGTGTTGAGGTGTGTGAGAGTGTTTGGTGTGAAGCTCTGAGTGTTTAGGTGTGTGGGAGTGTTTGGTGTGAAGCTCTGAGTGTTGAGGTGTGTGGGAGTGTTTGGTGAGGTGCTCTGAGTGTTGAGGTGTGTGGGAGTGTTTGGTGTGAAGCTCTGAGTGTTGAGGTGTGTGGGAGTGTTTGGTGAGGAGCTCTGAGTGTTGAGGTGTGTGGGAGTGTTTGGTGTGAAGCTCTGAGTGTTGAGGTGTGTGGGAGTGTTTGGTGTGGTGCTCTGAGTGTTGAGGTGTGTGGGAGTGTTTGGTGAGGAGCTCTGAGTGTTGAGGTGTGTGGGAGTGTTTGGTGAGGAGCTCTGAGTGTTGAGGTGTGTGGGAGTGTTTGGTGAGGAGCTCTGAGTGTTGAGGTGTGTGGGAGTGTTTGGTGAGGAGCTCTGAGTGTTGAGGTGTGTGGGAGTGTTTGGTGAGGAGCTCTGAGTGTTGAGGTGTGTGGGAGTGTTTGGTGAGGAGCTCTGAGTGTTGAGGTGTGTGGGAGTGTTTGGTGAGGAGCTCTGAGTGTTGAGGTGTGTGGGAGTGTTTGGTGAGGAGCTCTGAGTGTTGAGGTGTGTGGGAGTGTTTGGTGAGGAGCTCTCAGTGTTTAGTATGAAGCTCTTTCCTCAGTGGAGTCTTTGTGTCCACAGAGCTGCCGTATAACGACTACTTTGAGTATTTTGGGCCAGACTTCAAACTGCACATCAGTCCATCCAACATGACCAACCAGAACACACAGGAGTACATGGACAAGATCAAGTGAGAACCTCTTCTCAAACCCCGCAGTAACATCACTCTAGAACCGAGCGCTGTTCTCTCTACACTAAAGATCAGTGCTGAGTACAGAACGCTGAGTGATGGGTTCAGGATCCAGACTGTGATGTCTGTTTTGGTTTTTCAGACAGCGGCTGTTTGAAAACCTGCGGATGCTCCCTCACGCTCCCGGAGTTCAGATGCAGGTCATTCCGGAGGACAGCGTTCCGGACGATACGGTGGACGAGGACACGGAGGATCCGGACAAACGAATGTCCAGTAAGACACGCAAATACAGCAGTTTCTAAATGTATAAATCATCATAATATATCGAGGGGAAGAGATTAGTGGAGTTACATATACACTCACTGGTCACTTCATTAAGTCCACCTGCTTGTTTCTACACTCCCTGTCCGCTTTATCAGCTCCACTGACCGTATAGTTTCACTCTGTAGTTCTACAGTTACAGACTGTAGTCCATCTGTTTCTCTGCATACTTGGTTACCCTGTTCTTCAGTGGTCAGGACCCCCATGGACCCTCACAGAGCAGGTACTATTTGGGTGGTGGATCATTCTCAGCACTGCAGTAACACTGACGTGGTGGTGGTGTGTTAGTGTGTGTTGTGCTGGTTTGAGTGGATCAGACACAGCAGTGCTGCTGGAGTTTTAAACACCTCAGTGTTGCTGCTGGACTGAGAACCAAAAACATAAAGCCAACAGCATCCTGTGACCACTGATGAACGACCAGAGGATGACCAACCCAAACTGTGCAGCAGCAGATGAGCTATCGTCTCTGACCTTACATCTACAAGGTGGACTGACAAGGTAGGAGTGTCTGATAGAGTGGACAGTGAGAGAAACAGATGGACTACAGTCTGTAACTGTAAAAATACAGAGTGAAACTATACGGTCAGCAGAGCTGATTAAATGGACAATGAGTGTAGAAAGCAGAAGATGTTCCTAATAAGATGCTCAGTGAGTGTAAAACGTCGTTGTGTAAATTAATAATATGAACAGAAAAACAGCAAAATCAGAGTCACAGTTAAACCTCCAGAGTAATTTGTTTACTGAAAAATCACAGGGGGTGGGTGCTCCTGGTCAGAATGTCCGCAGATCTCCAGCTCAGACCCAAATTAGAGGAGGTTATATCTTCCCCAGATGGGGTGTTGGTACATTTCATTGGTCAACGGAGAACAAAGTTACACTTCACTGGTCACACGCAGCTGTGATGTGAATAAACAAGAGAGTGTTAACAAATATGTGTAATGATTGAGAAGGAAGGAAACCCAAATACAGCCAACAGAGTCCTCTTAGATCTGGTCCAGCCTGTGACCTCAGTGCCATTAAACAAAGACTGGCTGCAGCTCTTCTCATCAAGCTAGACTTCATTCAAGTGTCATACATAACTAGAGCTTTAATCGGGCCTAAATTTTGGTCTGAACCCAAACACAGCCCGAGAACATTCTCTCTGAGCTCAACCCGTACCACATCGTGGTGTTTGGAGTCCAGAACTGACCCGAGTACAACAGAATTCTGTCAGAAACTGACCAGAACCACATCGTCACCCAAAATGCAGAATAAAACCCAGGATGAAGCCGGTGACCCTGCAGTGATGGTAACATCTGTCATTAGAGCGCAGATCAATAAAACACAGCACAGTGTAAAATGATACATGCTGTAATAAAATAATCAACTGTCCAAAATTCAGTTTAAAGTTTGCTTTTAAACAGCATCTCAGTCGTCTGGATGAACCGCCGCTCTGCGCTGCTGATATTTGTTACAACCCTGCAAATTCCTTTCACACACAGAGAACAGAACAAGTCCACCATATATTTATGAATGACATATATAACATATATTCTTTCATTCATTCATCTTCTTAAACCGCTGAGTCCAGATAGGGTCACAGCAGCAGCTGGGAGAGCAGAGAAGCCCAGACGACCCTTTCCCCCCCAAAAAACTTCCTCCAGCTCATTCTGAGGGTCCTGAGCCGCTCCCAGGCCAACTTGGAGATATAATCCCTCCAGTGGGTCCTAGGATGACCCCGGGGTCTTGTCCCAGTAGGCCATGCCTGGTAAACCCCCATAGGGAGGCGTCCAGGAGGGCATCCTAATCAGACACACAAACCACCTCAACTGGCTCCTCTCAGTGTGGAGTAGCAACTCTACTCTGAGCTCCTCACACTGTCAGTAAAGTGTAGCCCCCCCACCCTGCGAAGAGGCTCATTTCTGCCGCTTTTATTCGTGATCTCATTCTTTTGGTCATTACCCACAGCTCATGACCACAGGTGAGGGTTGGGATGTAGACTGACCGGTAAACAGAGAGCTTTGCCTTATGGCTCAGCTCCCTCTTCACCACTACAGTCCGGTATAGCGACCGCATCACTGCTGCTCCTGTCCCAACCTGCGGCCGATCTCACCATCCCTCTTCCCATCACTCGTGAACAAGACCCCCAGATACTGAAACTCCTCCCCCTGGGGCAGGACCTCTCCCCTCACCTGTAGGGGGCATGACATCCTTTTCCCTCTATGTTATGTATAGCATAACTGTATCATGATGATACCAGTGATGTGACTGGCTGATTAAATCTCATATCACAGGTGAACTTACTGGTTATGTAACCACTACATACATGTGTATATATCCTCTACATGGACCTAATATAAAACATAGATATCTCTTCTGCGTCTGCGTGTGTGCGTGCGTGTGTGTGCGTGTGTGCGTGTGCGTGTGCGCGTGTGCGCATGTGTGCGTGTGTGTGTGTAGTCCGGGCGTCCGATAAGAGGATCGCGTGTGATGAAGAGTTCTCCGACTCGGAGGACGAGGGAGAAGGAGGGAGGAGGAACGTCACCAACCACAAAAAAGGAGCCAAGCGAGCTCGAGTGGAGGAGGAGAAGAAAGAAGGAGAGGAGAAGAAAACCGGTAAGAGAACCAAACTGCTGCTGAGAGAACCAAAAGGATACGAGAACTCAGCATCTAGAGAACCATTCTGTTTAGAGAACCACACCTTTAGGGACCGCCACTCTTTACAGAACCTACAGCTTAGAAAATCCACCTTTTAGAGAACTCAGAGCTGAGGACCTCCCATCTACAGAACCCACTGTTTAGAGAACCCACTGTTAGAGTTATGAGAGAACTGCTCACTGAAGTCGCTGTGCAGAGCGACAGAGTTGTACTGACATGTTGATACAGGATTTTTTTGAATGTTTTATTGAAGGTAAAAGGCATCAGAATCTTTACTGACAGCACAGTCGGTAAAAATGACTGACGAGGTTCATTCAGACTAAATCACGTCACTCACCTCCTCATCTAAACCTGATCCTGACTGAGTAGCGCTTTAGAGTGGAACCCTGTCGTAATCACTGGTGGATAACTGGACTGGTTATTGATTATTGATTATAAATTATTGATGATGGAGTGCAGAGCTGGACGCTGCCGTCTTAGAGCTGATCTCTCTGTGTGTTTCAGACGTGAAGGAGGAGGAGAAGGTGAAGGAGGGCAGCTCAGAGAAGCACGAGTCTAAAAGGTAAAGCATGTGGATTACCCACAATGCAGTGCAGTGAGTACAGTAATGATCACAGTCAGTGTTACACATAAGAGGAGTGCAGTGTTTGACTGTTAACACACTGAACTGACCAAACAGACAGACTGTTTACACACATTTGACTAAGAGACAAATACAGTAACACTACAGTAAATACAGTAATAATAACGAAGTCAGTGTGAGAGATGAAGATCTGTATCTGTATCAGACCCATAATATAATAACTATTATATGCAGAATATCACAGAAAGATAGGAATGTTTGTAAAAGTGAACATAATGTAACATACAAAACTTTAATTTTACAGTGTGAAGACTGAACAGACGAGCAGTGCATGAAAACGACCACCAGAGGGCGCACACACACACACACACACAAACACACACACACACATTCTTTTTGTCTCTCTCTCTGTATCTCTCTGTCTCTCTCTCTCTGTATCTCTCTCTCTCCCTCTGTATCTCTCTCTAGCGCCCCCTCCTGGACTCCACACCCATAAGCATTATATTTATTACTGTGTGAGTGAGTGTGTGAGAGTGAGTGTGTGTGTGTGTGTGTGTGTGTGTGTGTGTGTGTGAGTGAGTGAGAGTGAGAGTAAGAGTGAGTGTGTGAGTGAGAGTGTGTGAGTGAGTGTGTGAGAGTGAGTGTGTGTGTGTGTGTGTGTGAGTGTGTGAGTGAGAGTGAGTGTGTGTGTGTGTGTGTGTGAGTGTGTGTGTGTGTGTGTGTGAGTGAGTGTGTGAGAGTGAGTGTGTGAGTGTGTGTGTGTGTGTGTGAGTGAGTGTGTGTGAGTGAGTGTGTGAGTGAGTGTGTGAGTGAGTGTGTGAGAGTGAGTGTGTGAGTGAGAGTGAGTGTGTGTGTGTGAGAGTGAGTGTGTGTGTGAGAGTGAGTGAGTGAGAGTGAGAGTGAGAGAGTGTGTGAGTGAGAGTGAGTGTGTGAGAGTGAGTGTGTGAGTGTGTGTGTGTGTGTGTGAGAGTGAGTGTGTGAGTGTGTGTGTGTGTGTGAGTGAGTGTGTGAGAGTGAGTGTGTGAGTGAGTGTGTGAGTGAGTGTGTGAGAGTGAGTGTGTGAGTGAGTGTGTGAGAGTGAGTGTGTGAGTGAGAGTGTGTGTGTGTGTGTGTGTGTGTGAGTGTGAGTGAGTGTGTAACTCTGTAGGAGTCCCTCCACACCAGCAGGGGGCGTTTTGTCTTTCTCTCTGTCTGTTGTCTTTTTTCTGAATAGTTTGTACTGCGGCTTTAGGGAAGATGTGGATGTTCATTTAGTAACACAGTCGCTGATTAAACTCCAGATTTGTTTAAATTTGATATTTTGCATTTGCATATTAAAGCGTTTTATACTACTCGTGTCTCTGAGGTGTTTATTGATGTTTCAGCTCAGAGTGTAAATATAAGCGCAGCAGCTCCGTCAGCGCCGGGTCATAACGGATATGATCCGCTGCTGATCGACTGATCACACACCTGAGAACACACTCAGTGTTTTATAGAGCAGGGAAAGGTGGAAACTAGTTACTCAGCACTGAAGATGGTTTGAGCAGCTCCTTTTGTACCTTCACTGCGATGAACAGAGGGCAGATGATTTCTGACGAGTGTCTGACCGTTTTTCTGCAGTATTTCTATTAATCTGAGTTTAATTGCAAAAAATAATAAACACCTTTGCCCTGACCACATTTTGTTTTATTCAGTAAATAAACAGTAACTGTGTATTAAAACGTGTCTCTGTAGAGGACGTGTAAACTTATTCACACTCAGATGAGAATTAGACCAGGGGTGCACAAACTTCTGCACACAGCTATAGTTTTAGTGACGGTCATTCAGACAAACAGCCGGAATGTGTCCAGCATAAATTCAGTGTCTGAGTTTTAATGATGAACGGAGAGAAAAAGAGAACCGTATAAAGATGTAATTAAAGTACGACAGACCAACAGCACTTTACTGAACTGCACCCTTAAAGAAGGTTCTCCAAGGGTTCTTTAGTTAAGAAAATGGTTCTATGTAAAATCTTTGAAAATGCTTCTATATACCACCAAAAATGTTTCCTCTATTGTTATAAGCTTGTATTGTAACAATTGTAGAACCATTTTAGTGCTATATAGAACCCTTTTTAAAGGTTCTACATAGAACCATATACAACACGTTCCCCATCAGTCTGAAGAACCATTTCATGATACAAAGAACCATTTAATCATGCAAAAGGTTTACATAGCACCAAAGAGATTTTTCTAGTCTTACAAGCTTGACATCGCAACAGTAGCAGAACCCTTTGGTGCTAGATAGATAAAAGATATTTAAATATATCACAAACAGTAAAGAGAGAAATTGAGAATAAACACAGATCATCAATAAAGAGCTGAACCGGTACATGGAACAGGTTCCTCTTCCCTTTCTTTCATATTGTATCTTACATTTTTCTACACTCTTAAAAAGATGGTTCTCTCAGCGTTCTTTAGTGGAGAGTCCTGCTCTAACCTGGCTAGATCCTGTTTTCTTTTCTTTTTCTCTCTCTTTACGCTGTAAATGCTGGACTGCAGTGAAAATGAGCCACTCAGTGCGGTTCTGAGTGTGTGTAGATTCTGTTCTTACCTAAGAACAAATCCTAAATAAGAACATTGGAGAATGTAAGAAAACAATTTCTTCTTAAGAACGGTTACGAGTGAGGCCCAGTGATCTTATATAGAACCATGAACACTTAAAGAACCACTTGCATGATAAAACATTAATGTTAACATTATTATTGCTGTAATTATATATTTATGTAATAAATGTATTTATATTATAAAAACTTACTGATACTCTCATGTTAAAGGAACTGAGATGGGATCAGATGGAGGTTATTGATACTGTTATTCAGTAACGGCTGCAGATTTGAAAATAAACAACGGCCGGTGGTGCAGTTTCCTCCTCCTCCACTGGGAGGCGCTGCTGTTCCACTTATTTTATTCATGTGCATTTTTCAAACTTTCTCATTATGGAATCTCTACTGTTACCAGCTCTGTCTGTCTGTCTGTCTATCTATCTGTGTGTCTGTCTGCCTGTCTGTGTGTCTGTCTGTGTGTTTGTCTGTCTGTCTCTGGTCAGTGGTCGTTTTCTGGTGACTGTATTTAAAGCGTCCACGTATCTTTTTATGGTCATTCTGGTCTTATTTGGTCTTCGTCCCCTTGCTAGGCTGTGTCTGCAGTAGCGGTGATGAGACAAGCTCTATCAGAGTGACAGCTCGCCCGTTAGAATGGGGGCGGGGCCTTATTAATGATGTAATCATCAGTATCAGAGTAGTAAACTCACATTCCTCCACACTGTTAATGCTCAGATCTCACTGTCTCCTCCATCAGGCGCATCAAACCAGCTTCATCACATACAGCAGCTCAACGCTGCACTTTATTAATGTGTCATAACTGTTCATTAATGATTTTATGATAGGGTACTACATGACACCTACATCAGCTTGTCATAACACCTGACATAACTGTTTATAAATGCTTATTCCAGCAGGCATCATGTGTCATAAAGGCTACTTTAGCTGACTGATTAAAAATGGTGAATGTAACCTTTATAGCGAATGACGCCTGTCGGCATAAACATTTATAAACATTTATATAGGTTATGTCAGCTGTCATGATGAGCTTATGTAGGTGACATGTAGCCTTATAAACAGAACCTTACAGTAAAGTGTTACCATGATATCTAAGGTGTTTATTAATTTTATTAATTACTAATCATTAATAAACTAATTTTAAACCGTTAATAAACACTTAATAAGCTTCTTTCTCTAAACTTGTATCAGTCCCTTCAGAGAAAACATCCCTTCACATGTGAATAATTGTGGTTTTTGCACATTTCACATTATGTGTGATGACGTGTCGCGTGTGATTCCACGTGAGTCACAAGTAAACACAGCTTTAGATACTACATGTGAGGGATATATGTGACTCTTCTGTGAAGTAAAGGGACAAAAAAGGCATAAACTCTGAAATTAATAATTCATACTCCATAAAAACAGGTTAGAGCCTCAGCGAGGCTGCAGGAATGACCTCCCTCTCACTCTCTGATTAGATTCAGCAGAAAAACAAACACAACAGCATCATAACCAGCAGGTCGGTGCTCTGTGTTGCCATGGTAACCTCAGCTAACACGGAACTGACCCGAGTTTAACAGTCTTATTTACAGCCGTGTTGGTAAAGGCGCTCAGTCAGAGTGAGCAGCGTTCGGTACATAAACAGAGGCAGATTAATAAACAGAGTGTTTGTGTCTGTAATGTTTTACGCTCAGTCGGCGCTTTATTACTGTCACCTCATTTAAACAGGAAGCTGCTTTTTAGTGTAAGAATGCTGATTCGTCTCTTAGTAACTAATGTTGTTTATGTTGTGACTTTGCCTGATAAACAGTGCAGTGAGGGTCACGTGTTTATTTACCCCACACAGTTTGAGCTTAAGCTTAAAAAAAGGCTCAGAAATATCAGCCAGTTTGGCTGTAAATAAATCAGAATCGCCATAAAAATTCATGGTCACTGCTTCACTACTTGTTAGGGCTTGTGGTAAATTTAGAAATTCACAAATTTATAAATTTAATAGTTTCATAGTCCAAACACACTTTACAGTCTAGAAACGATGACCCTCAACTGACCCAGAGCTCCTCAGAGCGGTCCTGCAGTGAGAACGTAAATCAGAGCGATTAGCAAGGATGCGGGGAGTGGGGGGCCGAGGGGGCTGCAGCATTCCCAATTTCAGGACTGCAACTGTTAAAAATAATGATAATAGTAAAACATTCTGAACATTATAATCATTTGAACATAGTATAGATGCATGTGTGCCTGGATTAGAGCAGAGTTTGTATTTTTATATGTTCAAAACCGGCGTTGTGTAAGTGACACTGTATTTTCATTACAGTGAGCTGACCGCTGCTGGCCGCTTTCAGACAGAGAGAGAGAAAGTCTACACAGAGTTAAAGGCCAGTTCTGAACCCCAAAGCAGCCCAGTATTGTTTTTGAACCATAAGCGTGGAGCTGCTTGTATTTCATTACTGAAGCTGAAAATGTTAAACAAACTCAGTGACTGGAAACTCTGTCTGGTTACTGTATTTACTGACAATCATTTTAATGACTTCTAACCATAAATAACGTTTCTGTGCTCCAGATTTAGTGGATTATCAGCCCCAGTGTGGAACCATAACTATTCGAGCAGCTCTTCATCTGTAAATGTCAAAACTCTGTCAGTAAATGAGACAAAAACACCTTCACAAAAATGCTAATTTCTGTTAGCGCCTCTATGAGATTCTAATAGTGTGTTAGCACTAAGCTAACGCTGGTGCACATGAACATTTTAAAAATGTCTTGTAAAAGTCATTCCAGGTGTTTTATTGTTCAGTCTGTATCAGACATTATCGTGTATCTGATCTCGTGTGTATCAGTGTTACAGAGACTCTTTCAGTACAGAGTTCTGCACAGAGCTGCTGCCACTGTTTAACACTCCTAACAACTAACCGGAATACTGCTTAGACTACGACTCATATTCACAGTCAGTCATCTAGAACCTCCAGAAGGACTAGAGTGTTGCTGGTTCCACTCATTGTGAATCAGAGTATGATTGGTTGGTTCACTTCCTAATGATGTTGGTAGTTAATTTGATGCGTAAAACCTTCAGTCCAGCTCCTGAAGTCCTGACCAATAGGGAAGCAGCTCAGCTGTATCTACTCAGACACCACAGAGAGAACCATCCTTTGGAGATCTGAAACAGCAGCATAACTTAGAACATGTATGATGATTCTGTTAAATGAAAATGAAAATTACAGATACGTATGTTTAATTTAACAGAAGTTTAGAACCTCTCTGATGATCTAGACGGCCCTGACGGTTGCCCTCTGCGCAGCCCATAGTGCCTCATGGTAGGAGCTCCTCTGTGGAGGAGGGAGGGTGGGGAGCAGCGCTCGCTGTTACTGCCGCACATTTGCATTTTCAGAGCTCGGTTGTAAAACCTGATCTTGTCGTCTCCTCTTACCCGGCTCCACGTTCTCAGACCGATCTGTGAGAACGTGATCTGTAGGTGTGGAACGTTCCTCTGTGCCGCTGTATTCAGAGCCACTCTCTGACATCGTCACTGTGTATTAGATGTCAGGGTGGTACCCTGGGGGAGGGGCGCGGGGGGTTGTAGAGAAAGCTCTGGAAGGCCCCCTATTGTTCAGGCTCCTCCGGTGTCGAATTAAACAGGTCGGAGAGGGAGAGAGAGAGAGAGAGTGAGAGCGAGAGAGAGAGAGAGAGAGAGAGCGAGAGATAGAGAGAGAGATAGAGAGATAGAGAGAGAAAGAGCTAATCAACATACAACTAAAATCCCAGTAAGAGTCTGTTTTTCAAAAACAGTTTTTTTTAATGGGTTGATGTTACAGTGTAAAGGACTCTAATGGTTTAACAGATGACCAAATGCCTTTGATGGTTTCCTAAGGGGATCTAAAGATGTTCTACAGGTAACTAGTGATCTCTACAGGAACCCATTAAGTCGATTCCCATTAGAAAGCATTCCGTTTTAATCCTAATGGTTTCTAATGGTCTTTTTCAGTCTGCAGCAGCGCTGCTCATTTTTACTTTTATACCCCAAACTGGTCAAACCGGTACGTCTTCACCTGGTAGCCTAAACTGACATGCTAACGTTCTACAGGTACTCATTTCAGATCCAATCACACTGAGTGGAACGGTTCCTTCATTAGCGTAGCCGCCACAGCTAAGCTGCTAAAATTTAACATTAGCATAGCCGCCGCAGCTAAGCTGCTAATATTTAACATTAGCGTAGCGCCGCAGCTAAGCTGCTAATATTTAACATTAGCGTAGCCGCTGCAGCTAACCTGCTAATAATTAACATTAGCATAGCCGCCGCAGCTAAGCTGCTAATATTTAACATTAGCGTAGCCGCCGCAGCTAACCTGCTAATAATTAAAATTAGCATAGCCGCCACAGCTAACCTGCTAATAATTAACATTAGCGTAGCCTCCGCAGCTAAGCTGCTAATATTTAACATTAGCGTAGCCACCGCAGCTAACCTGCTAATATTTAACATTAGCGTAGCCGCCGCAGCTAAGCTGTTAATATTTAACATTAGCGTAGCCGCCGCAGCTAACCTGCTAATATTTTACATTAGCGTAGCCGCCGCAGCTAACCTGCTAATATTTTACATTAGCGTAGCCGCCGCAGCTAAGCTGCTAATATTGGTAATGGTAATGGTAATAACACCAGATTTTATCAGAGATTCAAATTTTACATATCAGGTTTTCTGCTCACCGGCGTTTAAACACCCACCTGTTTGGAATCACTTTTTCACCACTTTTTCACTTTTTATTTTACATGCAACAGCAACTTAAACTTATATATAAAATTAACTATCTACAGATTTATTACAGAAAATTCACCAAAACGTGTCTTTAGATGTTTTATTCCCCACTTGGTTATGCTGCCTGGATTTAGTGTTTGTCTGCTGTTGCTGCTTTGAACTTTTACCTGTAATTTTTAATTATTAATGAAGCCCAGTTTGTTCTGATTTTGATGACCTTTTTTTACTCTTCAGTATTTTAATTGTAAAGTACTTAGAGCTGCATTTTAATGTATGAAAGGTGCTGTAAATATAAACTTATTCAATATTTCAGAAAATCAGTGGATAAAATGGTAAATAATATAGTGTTATTATCTACTTACATTCCACTTGATGTTTAATCTCTTTTGAAATACATTGAATTCTGGATCGTTAATTTTAATAGAACTTCCCTCTTGATGTCCTGCAGTTCTCGGTCAGTGTAGAATCTCCAGCTCTGCTCAGTCTGGACTCTAACGTCTCTACACTGTTACTCACCGAGCCCTGCTGAAGATCTGAACCCGTGAAGACGTTCAGAACCAGCAGAGCACAGTCACACTTATCTACAGCCAGACTGTCTTAGATCACTGTAAACCCTGACTTTGACTGGATGTGCATGTTTAACACAGGAGTGAACACAGTTAGCACAGCTAGCGTAGCTTCTCCTACAGATTTACAGTAGTGTGCTGATGCTAATGTTCAGCAGGTCCGGAGTTCACGTTGGGAAGATGTTAAAATTCTGTGTTTGGTCACAAAAACACCCCCACACCCCACCCACCCACACACACACCAACCCCCACTCCCCCCAAACATACTCAAACAGACTCAGCTAATAGTACTTAGCATTAGCCAGTCACAAAATGGCCGCCAGAGGACATAAGTGCAGCCATTTTATGAGCTGCAAACAAAAAAAAGAGACACAGGAGCTGTTTTGAAATTTTATTCACATTTATTTTGCTTTGTGTGCTCACAGAAGTCCGAACACCTCGAGCAGGAGTTTTAATAGCAAGTTTCTCGTAAGCAAAGTTACATTCCATCTCTAAGTCAAATCGGTCAAAGCTTCTCCAGTATTTACAAAAGAAAGGAAAAAAGGGAAAGACAGGATGCTACACAGACATTTTGCATCTGATAGAGAGATTCCTTAATTATTATTATTTTTTTTCTCAAAGACCACCGAGGAAATAAAAAGCATCGTCTGCAGTAACCACAGTAGAAAGAGTCACAGCTTGGTTTGAGTTCAAAATCACTTCAAAGATCTTCCAGGATGATTTTTTTTAAGTTTATTTCTTTATCTTACAAAAACGAGCTTGGTGGTAAAAGAGCTGCATGTGCTTCTTGAGATCAAGATTTCATTTGTACAATAAATCACAGTTAAAAACACCCCTCCTATACATACTTACACGTCTTCACGCTCAGAGAGCCGGACGAAGCCCCGGCGTCCTACACAAACCACTGACTGAGACAGCTAAAGAGCAGAGCAGAGATCCTACCGTTAAAACGTCGTCCTAAAAACTAGCGCTGGGAGCTGGATAAACCGTCCGAGTGTAGAAATGACTTTAGTGTTGTAAACTGCGGTACAATAGTAGTTGGTCACTCTAAGACTACTCTTTCGCGGCGTAGTCTGTGGCACGAATCCCAGGCACGATGGTGCCCTCCTTTGCCCCGCCCCATTTCCCCTCCAAAACCCCTCCCACCTCCTTCATACCAATGGGCATGTCCATACGTTTGACAAATTTACTCTTTTTCCCCTTTTTCGTATAAAAATGCAAAAAAGAAAAGGCAACAAAACAATTAATACTGACGGAAAAAAATTACGGCAAAATGTAGATGATTCATTTTTCGTTTAACTATTTTTTTTAGCCATCCACCTCTCTCGGGTCCCGAGGGTGGAGTTTTGGGGGGGTGTATAAAAGAGAAAAGAAAAAGAAAAAAACAAAAAGAAATAAAAAGTAAAAGCTTTAAAATATCCCTGGTTGTAGACAAAGTTCTCCAAAGCCTCTGGACCCGGAACCAACTCCAGCGTACAAACAGGGAAATGTTCTCATCTTTGTTTTTCCTCCCTTTTTCTGTATTTTTTATTTTTTTATTTCTCAGGTGTGTGTGTGTATGTGTGTGTGTGTATGTGTGTGTGTGTGTATATGTGTGTGCGTGTGTGTTACTCCGCTGCAGGCTCAGCGGTCGTCGCTGGACTGGACTCTGTTTCCTGTGCGGCAGGAGCTGCTTCTTCTTGCTTTGGCGCCTCCTCCTGGACGGCGGTGGGAGCAGGCTCTGCTGCGGGCTCGGCTGGTTTCTCCTCTGCTTTAGGAGCTTCCTCAGCCGGGCTGGCGGCTTTAGGCTCCTCCGCTGGTTTCTCTGCTTCCTTGGCCTCGGGTTTCTCCGGGCTGGTTGCTGCGGTGCCCTCGTCCGCCTCAGGCTTGGCTTCCTCATCGGCAGGCTTGGCCTCCTCACCAGAAGCGTCGCCTCCTTCTGCCTTCGCTTCGTCCGAAGCACCCGCAGCCTCCTCGGCTCCCTCTCCCGTCTCCTTCTTGGTCTTCTTGAAGGAGAAGCCGCTCAGCTTGAAGGATTTCTTGAAGGAGAAGCGCTTCTTCTTCTTCTTGGGCGTCTCGTTGCTGGTGGAGGGCGTGGCAGCCTCGCCCTCAGCCGGCACAGCAGCGGCAGATTCTCCCTCTTCCTTCTCTTTCTCCTTCTCCTTCTCTCCCTCTCCTTCCTCCTTCTCAGCCGGAGCCGCTGCGGCCTCAGCCTTCTCGCCCTCCTCCTCTTTGGGCTGCTGCTCCTCCGCCGCCGCGCTGCCGTTAGCCTGCACTTCCTCCTTCCCCTCCGCCGCTGCAGGAGACGCGTCGCCGTTCACCTTCACGTGGCCATTCTCCTGTAGCAGAGAGACACCTGGTTACCACACGGTGCGCTGAGGCGATTACATCAGCAGGGACACATTTACATAAACCACAAACAGCACACACTCCCACAAACCAACAGAAAAACTGCCCGATAACTGGACTAAACTACTAAAACAAAGAACCTGAGTACCTTTCAGACCAAAGGACACAATCCGGCAGTGATATCAGGCCTGAGTGACAAACATTTTGCAGCCCAGAGCTTCAGTGTGTGAATATCAACAGGCTAAATCCTCTAAAGACGCTCCAAATTCAGCCCAAACTTCACTCTACAGTGATTATTATTACATTATTCCATTCAAAATGTACTACAAACATATTGCCCTGCAGGAAAAGGACTATTTAATGGTGTAAAACCTAATGGTTTTCCTTTCTAATGGGATTTGGCTTAATGGTTTCTAACAGAGTCCACTAGTTTCCTGTAGAACACTTTTAGATCCCATTAGGAAACCATCAAATGCATTTGGAATCACTGGTCACCTGGTAAACCATTAGGACCCTTTACACTGTGATATCAACCCATTAAAAAAAACAAAACACATTACAAAACCATCAGGAACCAACAGACATACTTAACGATTTCTACTTTGTTTTTTCAACAGAGTAAACAAAAAATTTTGGGACCAGTTTTAAATAAATTCGATAAAAATATCACCCGTTTGGGTTTGTTTTGATTAACTGGGGCGCTGAATTCAATGCAAACAGCCTAAATGTGAAGCCCAAACCGAAGCTATTCCGCCATCGGCCAGAGGGGGCAGCAGAGACCGCGGCTTAAACCCAAACAATGACTCCAAGGAGCTGCCTTTGTTTTGATCCAGTCGACCTTTTACAGCATTTTTAACCAGCAAAACGGAAACTTTCACTTCATTTTTCATTACTTTCATACATTAATGGTAAAATATCTCGACCTGAAAAGCATTCTGAGTCTTTTTAGACGCAAAAACCACACCGTGGTTGCCGTTCGCGGTGGTGGCCGCCAGGGGGCGGCGCGTCTTTGTCTTAAATCTGAATAAACTGAAGCGCCAAACAGAAACAGCAGCAGCTCAATAAATTCACACGTTATTAAACATTAACGCTCGGAAAGCCCCTCAGAGGAACCGGAGGCCGTAAATAAGCGGGGTTTGAGTGATAAAGGCGGGTGAAGGAGCGCGAGCAGCGCGGACCCGCAGCATCTCTCCGCGGAGAAAGGCGTGGTGAGCTGCGCCCTGAGCCATTGTTGCTCCTGCACCACCTTCTCCCCATCGAACACCACCAAACCGTCTAAATATCATCCATATCACACACACTGCGCTCGCGCTCGGGCAAAACGCACACTCGGCGAAAAGTGACACCAGGTGTGCTGCTTAACTGCACTCTTTTCTTGGCCCAGTGAAGGCGCCCTCACTGCCCCGCTTCACTCTCCAAACAAAAGACCTCTGCCCAGATACTCCAGCAGGGAGGAGGAAGAAGACCCAGCCCGGCTCCGCGATCACGGAGTAGAGCGAAAAACGAGCCACATGAGGAGAAAAGGGGGAAACAGAGCCGTAATAACGACTAAAACTGGAGAAATGTGGAGAAAATTGGAGACAGACCCAACAATATGTGGTCAATAACTGATGAACACGGTCCAGAATGGACATCCAGTGAAGGCGCCCCAAAGTCAGTGACCCCAAACAGAAGAAACTTCGAAAATGACCTCAGACTCTCCTCAGTGGAGCTGCAGAGGCTGTGAGACCCCCAAACAGACGCGCTGGGGATAAACAGGGTCTTAGACATGAAAACATGATCAAGGCGCCCAGAAGCGCAACCACCGTCGGGAAAAGGTGTAAAGGCGGGTAAAGGTGAGCTCTCACCTGGCCGTTAGGTTTGCACGAGGCCGCCGCCTCTCCGGGTTTTTCCGCCGCCGCGGTCTCGCCCTTCGCGGCGCCTTTGGAGAACTGCGCTCCCATCGCTCCGCTCCAACAACAGCGACCAGCAGACAAAGAGCCCGAGCCTCGCCTCGCGATTCACCCCCCGGGGACCGAACACACAAACACTGAACCTCAGAAAGCTCCGCCGAGCCGAGCTCCTGCCTCGCCGCGCGCACACCGGGACCGGAGAGCAGATCTCCCCGCGCTGAGGGTCCGGAAGGTCTGGCTGGTGGGTTCTGCTGGGTGTTGGTTTGGTTTCTATCGCCGTTGCTCTCGAACGCGCGCGGTCTGCGAGGATGGACGGGCGCTGCGCGCGCTGACGCATCCGCTTCGAACGCCAGCCAATCAGAGCGCTGCGCCCGGCCCACAGAGGCGGGGCTTTAGCGGCGCGTGAACAATGGAGCTGGAGAGATTGGAGCAAATATATTAAAATATGAGCCCCGCGTTATAAAAGCAACTACAGAGAGAAACACGAGCTGATCTCTCTGATTACCCACCGGTCAGTTACTGACCATCACAGGAGTCAGGGGGGTTCCAGGGGGATTGGGTGATGATCAGCTGGGTGGATGTGTGGTCAGTGAGTGAGTGAGAGAGTGAGTGAGTGTGTGGTCAGTGAGTGAGTGAATAAATGAATGTGTGGTGAGTGAGTAAGTGAATGGTGTTTGGTCAGTGAGTGAGTGAGTGAATGGTGTTTGGTCAGTGAGTAAGTGAATGGTGTTTGGTCAGTGAGTGAGTGAGTGGTGTTTGGTCAGAGAGTGAGTGAGTGAATGGTGTTTGGTCAGTGAGTGAGTGAATGGTGTTTGGTCAGTGAGTGAGTGAATGGTGTTTGGTTAGTGAGTTAGTGAATAGTGTTTGGTCAGAGAGTGAGCGAGTGAATGGTGTTTGGTCTGTGAGTGAGTGAGTGAATGGCATTTGGTCAGTGAGTGAGTGAATGGTGTTTGGTTAGTGAGTTAGTGAATAGTGTTTGGTCAGAGAGTGAGCGAGTGAATGGTGTTTGGTTAGTGAGTGAGTGGTGTTTAGTAAGTGAGTAAGTGAGTGGTGTTTGATCAGTGAGTGAGTGGTGTTTGGTCAGTGATTGAGTGAATGGTGTTTGGTGGGTGATTGAGTGAATGAGTGATGTTTGGTCAGTGAGTGAGTGGTGTTTGGTCAGTGATTGAGTGAATGAGTGATGTTTGGTCAGTGATTGAGTGGTGTTTGGTCAGTGATTGAGTGAATGAGTGATGTTTGGTCAGTGATTGAGTGAGTGAGTGGTGTTTGGTCAGTGAGTGAGTGAGTGGTGTTTGGTCAGTGATTGAGTGAATGAGTGATGTGTGGTCAGTGATTGAGTGAGTGAGTGGTGTTTGGTCAGTGATTGAATGAGTGGTGTTTGGTCAGTGATTGAGTGAGCGAGTGGTGTTTGGTCAGTGAGTGAGCGAGTGGTGTTTGGTCAGTGATTGAGAGGTGTTTGGTGAGTGAGTGAGTGAGTGGTGTTTGGTCAGTGAGTGAGTGGTGTTTGGACAACCGACTAACACTGCTCTGTCTAACTCTGCTCTCTGCTTTATCTAATGGTGCTCTAACGTTGTTGTAACTCTGTTCTAAGTAACATAGTTCTACCCAACACTGAGGCTCTAGTGAGGCTCCAACTCAGCACTGCTCTATCGACCTCCATAGCACAGCTCGACCCATCGCTGATGTAACCAGTGCTGCTTTATCTGCCTCAGCAGGAGGAGAGAGTTACGCCTCGCGCCTGTAGGAGTAATGTCGTTTCCATGGAGAGAGAGTGTGGCTGGAGTGTGAGGAGTGTTTTGAGCAGCAGAGAACCCAGCGCGAACGGAGTGTAAGAAACAGAAGTGGAATAGAGGAACATGTCCAGCCGGCGGGCCTGTAGCCTGCTGACCGAGCGTCCTGCGTGGCACTGATTCGAGTGCCATGTTCTGAGATCAGTGTAAACGTTTTAAGCCACTTCAGAAACAAATCAGATTTGCATAAACCGCTGTGGACATCAGTGCCGCCACTTTCCCTGCTGCTCTCAGGATGGACACTGTGCAGCAGCTGGACGCTGTTCTGTGACACAAGGGGACGAGCTCGTTTTCGGTTCCACGCTCTCTGGTCTCCTGTCATGTGTGCAGCTCGGGGGCAAGAGGGTTATTGTTCTGCAAGTTCTATTTACCACACAAACACAAGAGGAACAACTGCAGTGACATTTAAAACCTGCCCAGTATCTCATTTCACTTCCTCTCGTACAGAAGCACAACACAAGGTTTCCTCCAAATCAGAGTCTGTCTCACTCTGTAGACGCAGCCAGACGGGAATTCACTAAAACAGCACAAACAAACAAACAAACAAACACCCCAGTCTTCTCCGTCCCTCAGTGATGTCTGAGTATTAAAGCAGAATATGAAGATGTCGGGTCAGTGTGTGCTGGTTTAGTATTGGCTGTGTGGCGCGTTACCACATTAATATCATCTGATTACTTTTAGGTTGCTTGTCTTTGATTAAAGACATTAAAGAGAAAAATTATTTCAAAAAGACTTTTAAAAACATTTTAACACATGCCAAACACAACAACTGCACTGTTTTATGAAACAGAGTGATAGATTATAGATTATAGATTATAGGTGACCTAAATATTGTGCCACACAGAAACAGAGTGTGTTTACATGCACTCAATAATCAGATCATAATTGGATTCCTGCAATGATTTGATTATTAAATGGTCGTGTGAACAGCACACTCTGATTTCTTAGATCAGATTATATAAATCTGATTAGTAAATCTGATAAAGAGGCTGATCTGAGTCAGTAATGGGGTTTTTCACTGTAAACTCTCACTCGTTTAACGCAACATTTAACACAGCGTTTAACACAGAACCCGCGAGACGAGTACAGCACTTATGGAGCGACGCTGAACCCGAATACACGCTCGACCAATGAAGGATTTAAATATCCTTCGTCTTCTAGACGATGTTGGTTCATGTTTTCAGCTAAAGTGATTCGATGTTTTAAAAAAGTCGCTCATGAAGTTTGAGTTCTGTTACGTTTACGTCACGTCTTGTTCTGTGAGTTTATTGGCCGGTTGAAGAGCAGAAATCTGATTACTGTCTGACTCATGTAGACCTGGAGTTGTAAACACGTTGATCAGATTACTGACAAAATCTGATTTTCTGCAGTTATCAGATTATTGAGTGCTTGTAAACTCACTCACTGATATCACTTTTAGCGATACAGCCGAATCTAAGAGGATGTGGAAGTATGTAAACATAAAGATGACAAATTTGTATGATAGTATAATTTGTTTGCAGTTAGACTTGTTTACTCAAACATTGAAGTTCATAAATCAAGTTTCGCTCCCCAGAAAAAAATAAACTGATTTTTACAGGAAAATTAAAATAAAAGGTCAGGACACTGAGACTAAAAGCTCAGAGACTAAAATCAGAGGAACAGCAAAAGTATTTGGTCAATGAGTGGGTCAGTGTGTGTTGGGTTAGTGAGTGTTGTAGGTTATCATGTGAGATGGGTTATGGAGTGTGTTGGGAATGTGTTAAATTAGTGTTTGATCAGTGTGTGTTGGGTTAGTGTGTGTTGTCCAGAGAGAAAGTGTGTGTACAGCTTGGTTATCTCTCTCTCTCTCTCTCTCTCTCTCTCTCTCTGTCTCTCTCTCTGTCTCTCTCTTTCTGTATTTTGGGTGTGTCTTTGTGGACAGATGGTCAGATGGCCACTCACTCCCCCGCTGCTGCCCCTTTATCAGTAGTGTTACAGGTCTGATCTGTGCTGTTCAGTGTGTCTGTGACGCTGTGCTTTGTGTGCTGGTTGCACTACGATGTGCTGAGCTAAGCTAACAGTAAAGTGCTGTAACTCAGCTAATGCTAAAGTTCTGTGAAGCCTCTGAACTTCAACATGTTATACTGTGTTCAGTGTTTTGGCTTCTTTGTAAATGTGTTGAATTTATGCAATTCCTGTGTGTGTGTGTGTGTGTGTGTGAGTGTGTGTGTGTGTGTGTGTGTGTGTGTGTGTGTGTGTGTGCATAATTTTGTTCCCTGTTCAACATGAACCTTGGATACTAAACAATAAAGTCAAAGTCAGTAGAAAAAAAAAAACAAAGTGTAATTTTCTTAAAAACAACAGCGCTCTATAATGTTCATATGATCCATACAGTCACTCTGACAGACTGTAGTACACTACAGGAAGTGTAGGGGGCGATATGGCTTCTACTGTTTCATTTAAAAAGCTCTATAATGTTCATATGATCCACACAGTCACTCTGACAGACTGTAATACACTACAGGAAGTGTAGGGGGCGATATGGCTTCTACTGTTTCATTTAAAAAGCTCTATAATGTTCATATGATCCACACAGTCACTCTGACAGACTGTAATACACTACAGGAAGTGTAGGGGGCGATATGGCTTCTACTGTTTCATTTAAAAAGCTCTATAATGTTCATATGATCCACACAGTCACTCTGACAGACTGTAATACACTACAGGAAGTGTAGGGGGCGACATGGCAGATATACAAAGGAAGAAATTGTTTGTTGCACAAATGGAACTTTGTATGATGTTACTATACTTGAGCATTTCTGTCACCTAATATTTTTTACTTGTACTCACTACATTTCAAAACAGACTTGTCACTTCAGTTTTATCAATGTATTTATTTATGTATTTATAATATCTTTTTAATCTGGCAGTTTTATTCAGGTAGCTAATGACATGCAAATGGAATTCTATGGGGTGGGGGGGGGTTAATGGAGTGAACCTGTGATTGGCTAATTTCAGACTTACAGGCCCCAGCAGTGATCATGCAGGAAAAGGAATAACGAGGGAAACAGAGCGACAGTGTTGAGGTAGCGCTTATGGACGATGCATCTAAAAAGCTGTATCCATGGCATTCCAGTGCCGGAGTGGGTGATCGGGAGAGTGGGGAGAATTCCCGTTGGGCCACTTACTGTGAGCTGATGTATAAACTCATACATACACCGATCAGGCATAACATTCTGACCACCTCCTTGTTTCTACGCTCATTGTCCATTTGATCAGCTCCACTTACTATATAGGTGCACTTTGTAGTTCTACAGTTACAGACTGTAGTCCATCTGTTTCTCTGATACTTTGTTAGCCCCCTTTTACCCTGTTCTTCAGTGGTGTGTTAGTGTGTGTTGCGCTGGTGCGAGTGGATCAGACATAGCAGTGCTGCTGAGAGAGAGATACAATCATAGAGGCTGGTGGGTTCTTGTTCCAGTGGAGGTTCTCGAGGGGAACTGGAGCTCCACCAGCTGCTGCTGTTGTTAGTTTGCTGCTGGTTAATTTATCCATAGTTCTCCTGTGAG